GTAACAATTTGCGACGCGCGAGGCCGCTATATATAGGTGTTGTCATGCGATGCGGCCCGGAAGCTGGAACCTGCCACGCAGAGAGTTGGGCAGAAGATATCGATGCAGAATGAGATGTTCGTGACCTTAGATGATGTCGCAGCGGGTTTCAAACTCCTAACTGCGTTTTTCCAGGAACGGTTGATAGCGTGTCGTTGCTGGAAAGGAGGTAGCCGCGAGTCCGTCCCCCACATATCTACGTTGAATCCTGGTGGTGGTTGCTCCCCGTGAGCAGGGTTTTGCCCTAAGGCCGGATCCCACCTGCCACTGGCTTTCCGTGCACTAAGCGACAGTCGGCTGTGGTACAGGATCACACTCAGCACAAGGCATGCTGAGAAGAGAAGTTCTTGACAAAACGCCGCTGAACAGCAATGCCTCTGTCGGTGCTGGCAACGCATCACCGAGCCCGGTAGTCCTGTAAGCTCGGTTCGTGTGATTTCTTTATCTGGTCGTAGTCGCCCTGATTGGCATGCGCTTATGCTCCTTTGAAACAGATTTTTCATTGACGTTCAAAGTAGCGGTAGGTACAAGGGACATTCAAGGCTCGCCATGCCTGAAGGAGGCACCGGGCTCAAAGCCCAGGACACGACGAGAGCGTCTTTATGGTGCAAACCGGACGCGGCGCTAGGAGCGTTGACACTCCGCGTCGCTGCCGTCACTGAATATAGAGGGTTAACAAACACGGAATTGTCCTTCATGCCCAGCAAAACCCGGCAGATATTGCATGAAAGGATGACCAAAAGTGTATTGTTGCGCATATCATACAGTGAGTGGGTGTTCTCTCACTTCGTGATCCCTTTCCGGTAAAGCGCATGCTTGCCTCGCACCAAGCGCGCGACTACTGCCAAAATACGGCAGGTCTATTACCGTCTGAAGTTTACAGATAGCTGCAGACTTCTTCGCCGATTTCGTTAGCCGCTACGCCGCCGTCGGGGTTATTATGTATTCCAAGAAGGCAGCCTGAGCAAAGGCTGGTGGCTCGCAGCATCATTTCCATGATTGACGGTTGTTCCAACACCTCACAGCGTTCAGCACCGCGGCGCTAACCTCGCGCCGGCGTCCACCCAAGCCACGGGGTTCCTAGTTTGTTTTTGGCGAGCATGGAGGCGGAGCGGCGGTCCAGTGCGGGAGGTCCGGCCCAACCTCCTACCGAGCGTGTCTGACGCCTCTCGATCATGTCTGGTTGACACCCACAAGGCCGGCATTACGAGGGGCCTGAATATTTTAAATCGGTGGTGTCAAGCATGGGTGATGCGTTTATCCGGCGCCGGAGATAAGTCTTGAGGACAAGGCAAGGGACTTGCAACGTGCATGCGGGGATGCAAGGTCCAGCAGGCAGCGGTCCCTGCGGGGGTAGACTGCGCCAGCGAACACCGTGACGTCACAGTCAAAGCAAGCTGTGGTATCAACGTCCTAGAGCTGGGTTCGGAAACGAAAATGAACAAAAATCATCATTGATGCGCTTCCGGCACTAACCCGTGATTGCGTGATTGCGTATCAAAGGCGTATTTTGTGATTGCAATGCTTGCATGGTTCAAGCCAACTATAGATTCGCTCTATCCTATCAAAATTATTTCTAACATATACCAAAGATTCCAGCAAGCTCTCACATTCATCAGATACTTTTGTCCGCAATCAGTTTGCTCTTTGCACCCTAATTATCTTACAATGCTAGCTTTAACGTGTACCCATTGGGATGTCAATATCCGGCAGCGGCTCACGAATACATCACGACGGTATGTGCGATGTTGCGAGCCAGAGCATGCAACAAGCACAATAGGTTGTTCTGTTGCTACGGTTCAAAAGCTTTTCCTTACTGGAATATCTGCATTGTTCTGGAAGAAGAATGGTGTCAGTAGACGTGCTTGGCTGATGTAACTGTTTTGGGCCGCGACACGCACGTACCGCCGAATGCTCCAGTGGCGGAGAACGGGAGCCACGGACCAAGTCCTTTTCAGGATTGTGTCCCGGCCGTTCTTAGAGCCAGAGCTCAGCTTTCAGCTCCTTAGCCACGTGGTGTGACAGCCGACGTCGGGACCTTTGTGCCGCAACGGCGGAACGGAACACTATTTCCCGCAGGCTTGACGACGTAAGACGTTCCAGTGCAGGCTCCAACACGTAGGATAATGCGGGTGCTTCATGCGATCTGACAGCACTAGACTGGGCTATTCATAATGCACGTCTCTTCTGTGCTTGGATGCAACGCATCATGCGTATATATATATATATATATATATATATATATATATATATATTTAAATCAATGCCTTGTCACTCAGAACAGAGGGCAGAGGCGGCAGCCACCAGTGGTTCATGACAGATCAGGAACTTATCAGGAGATGCAGTACGATGAACGTGGTAACAATTGAGCTGTACCTCTACCAGAAAAGGAAGAATCGTGGAGAGCAGACTCGTTCCTTGGGCCATCTCTGAGCAGTCCCACATGTACGTATACATCTGCTTCAACTGAGCCAACTGAGCAACAAGAGTTGCGAGAGACAAAGTGAACCAATGCATTGCTTGCGTTATCCCACGGTCACATGATGGCATCATACGCAGCCAAATGATCTATTCAAACTACACTACATCTAAACACTTGTTTGCACTTGCGGTGCTGTCGTACGAAATACCGCTGACGTACATCAATCATCTCTGATCTTTTTCCTAATCCAATACAAAGAAAAGGTCATAACCTATCAAATAACACGGCGCATAAAATATTCCTCGCTCAAGCGATTATACGAAGATAACAACGACAGGTACCCGTACAGTATACACATATGTATACAAAATACAAATGTGTACTAGAGCCAATTATGCGCAGAGCTGTGTCCATCTGCGCATCTATACCGATCACAGAAGCACGCCGACATGTACCAAAACACCAGTACACGTGAGCATGCTGCTGTTACCAACAACGACACCAGATATGTGATAAAATAGTTGGGCAACGCGAGCCCAGGACACAGAGGAGGGAAGGAGGAGAGTTCCCCACCGCACGAGGCATGGGGTCGCCCTCCGTCAGCTAACCGCTATCAGGCCTATCCCGAAGGTCTAGTTCCTCGAGCCGCCACCTGTTCGGTGTTCCCGAACTCGCGTCGCCAGCTTCTCCGCCGCCCGCCTCTTCCACGGGGCTGGCGGCGGCGCTCGCCGTGACGCACCGCGCAGAGAAAAACCGACTTCAGACGCGTCGCAACCGCACGTCTAACGAAAGCCAGACACAGACATAGCGGATCACGCGTCTGATGTAAACATTTTCATGTGGAGGCAGTCGTACCGCCAGGCAAACGCCGAATCAGACCTGCAAACTGCCCAAAACGCCTTCGATTGTTTGTCCATTTGAGCAGTGTTTACGTTTACCGCGGCTCAGGGCTCCGTGGATAGGTCTCCTAGTGGACAGGACCAGAAAGCCGTCTATGCATCGGCAAGGCCTAATGTATCCTCACGAATGGGCATCCGGTACTTAAGAGTCGTATTCTGAATGATACGGAGGCTGAAACGGAATCCTGGGATTCCTTATCGAACTCGTCAAAATATAACGCAAGATCATGCCAAATGGAATCTTACGTGAAGCCAGCGAGGCATGTCTGGGAGACTGATCATTGTACCCGCGTCGCGTCTCCTTTGTAACAACAGTTCTTTTGCAGATGTCATATCACCCTCAGTAACATAAGAACCCCCAGTTTAGAGCAGGTCTGAAAACGTCCGTGTATAAATGACTGCATGGCCCACTGGCATACAAGAATGACTGCAGCCTTTCAAAACCACGTGCGACAGGCTGATTATGACGCAAAAAAAACATGCGAAAACCATGCTATGCGCCGTGATTGCTCCTTTTCAGCTGCGGGGCTGCGAACGAGTAGTATTTTGTCATTACTTTACACCATGTTTAAATATTTTGTACTTATATGTATAAACTTTTAAAATGCCGACATTTTCATTATAAGGATTTATAAACCGGGCAGGTGGAAATAAACTGTACGCTTGTTTATAGGCAACTTTCGTTCATATTATGCCGTCACCAAAAGAATCTACGACTGGTGCGGCTGATCTGTGATGTTAATGCAATGGCATGGACTCAGGTGGTGGAAGCGCAGAGATCAATCTGACCCCCACAAAGAAACAAACATGTAAATTGTTTTAGTACAGCGTTTTGAGCACGTGCTTCGCAAAGCCAGGTCCATCACCAGTCACCATTTTGGCCCAGCGGATGGCTTTTCACATATGGCCGGACATTAAAACGCATCTCCCGTTCAACTTCTGAACAGTTCCACCTGCACGCCCCCCCCCCCCCTCAAAATACCTTTATTTAAGGAGAGACACATTCAAACAATGGCAGCCAATGGTGGCAGCCACGTTTTAAGGAGTGAGAATGGCACATATCTAGACGAGATCGAATGTCTATGAACCGCCTACGCTAACGGCTAAAACGTGCCATAACGTGATGGGCGCTGTACTTTGAAGTTTGTGTTAAAGTACATGTTCGTGCTGGTACATAAATATTTGAGAACGAGGCATGACAAGCAGTAAGGTTTTATATCAGGTTATGGATAAATTAGAAAAGACGAATAAATTTGTGTAGCTGATAACGCAAGACTAAACGCAGTTTTGGTACTGTTGAAGTGCCTATAACATTTAAGAAAGGTCTTAACTTCTTACTGTTTTCGACACTTCGAGCTCTTGCGCCACCATAGATGCAATCGTTATGTAGAAAAATCAAATGGAGATAACAATTATGCATTTTTGAAAGTACTGTAATAGCATCTATCGCGACAGCCCGACTTTCCTTTAACCCCTCCCTAACGAGATCATAAACGTGGGTTATTCCGAGCACACATCCAACCGTTTTTCCAAGGCAGCTAGACACACCTGGTTTTCACGAGACGCACCAAAATGGCCCTGGACGGCCTCACAGCCGCCAAAGCTAGGAAAGGTGGTGGTGAAACTCAGCCCGGCCTTACCTGGTGACAGCACTTGCAGATAAAACCCATTTAGGTGCGGTCAGTCCACTGGAGGCAGGCAGCTGCGGCCGACGGGCTTCACTGGTCGAAGGTCCTGTTCACGTCGCGTGAGTTTCGGCTAGAGCCCCGGGGGTTGAAACTCCCAAGGCTCTCCGCGAAGACCTCGTTGCTGCGATGACCGCCCCGCGTCCGGAGATTTCCGCTACACCTCCTGCCACGACGCTCGCGCCCCGCCCCACCTCACATCCATCACGGGACACCTGGAGCCGACGACTACCGCAGGCTCTCCCACGACGCTTAACAGGTTCGTCACAGCCCGGCTCCTTCGGCAGCCCCTGCCCGCGCCGTCGAGCCGGCGTCAGCGGCGTCACCGAACAAGGCCGCCACCGGCCGCCTGACGTCCAGCTCCGCCGCTCGACCGCTCCAGACTGCGGCTGCAGCGAGACTGCGGCCGGCCGGCCGCAGACGCGTGAGCAGAGGCTGGGAGAGGGCGCGCAAGGCGACGGCGGGAGACGAGAGAGCAGAGACGAGAGGAGCGCCAGGCCGAGGGACGGAGACGGAAGGAGAGCGGAAATTGAAGTGATTTGAGGCAATGCAGCGAACTAAATGGACAGATGGGAAACAGTAATGCTGGTGAATGAGCAAAGTGCGAAGGGATGAGGAACGAGAAAGGGCGAGCGGGTGAAAAGACCTCGTGAAGATGCGGGATTCAGGGAGGGGAGAAAGAGAGGGAAATGGAGAATTGGAGCATGTGAGCATTGAGCATTTCAGAGGGAAATGGAGAATTGGAAATAATTTGCCAACAAAGGAAAGGCAATGTGAAGACGGAGGGTGAATGCATGCGACGAGATGGAATAAGTCCAGTGAATGAGACCATCTTGCAAGCGTACAGGAATCAAGGAGGGTGGACCGCAACAACGGGGTGGTTGCTCCAACCCGAAAGCCAGGATAGGCGCAACGCCTGCACAACCTGTCAGTCACAAAAATCCATCGTCCATAAGGTATCATACGATTCAAAAGCCATCAATTCGGGCACCATACACAGGACCATGAGTTAACAAGCGCCCAGGTGGTCCGTTGAATACCCTTCGCTCGGACAAGGAGTCAGTTTGACGCTCCTGTAATATCAGAAACTAAGAGAGCTAAAGCCACCAAATTCACGGATTGTTTTGGCCTGTATGTGTACTCACTTGTGTCAAAATGTCTTGACCCCAGGTTTTGACCTTCTCTCAAATAAGGTCAAACAAGGTCAAACGCCAGATTGGAGTCCAATGTGTTCCAGAACAGACACTTGTTCAAAGCAAAAGGTCGGTGGGGCTCAATTAAGGTCACTAACTTTTTCAGGTCATGATGACCAAAATCCCACAAGACTACTTTGAGTTTTGCGTTTCAATAAGTGTAAAAATTACGCTAGGCAGTATGCTCCCACAAACCAAACGTTGAGCTGGGTCATTTTAGTTAGTGACCCAATATGACCTTCAAGAAGTTTATGGAAGATGCATACTGCGGTTCATGCTATCAATAAATTTCAAATGGGTACCAGAAACTACTCCACATAGCAACCATTGGATTAACAAAGCAGGTTAGTTTTGGCCTTAGTTCGACCTTCATACCTGACCCTAGGTTAATGGAGTTCGCTCTTTTGATTGCTGTGCTGCCTAAAAAACTATCCCAGAGATTTATGGCTAACACTTCGCTGCGGTTTTGAATTGAACGATGCCCCTGGGATTGTCTTCGCTGAATCCAAGGCCTGATTTTGACCTGCCTTTGGTCAGCGACCTTCCAAGACACACCTCAACTCTGGTACCAAGCGATCCGTTACTCAATTCCCTACAGGTCTGCAATTTTCGGTGCGGCTACAACACGCCGTTTTGAAACCGTTCTGCAAAAACCGCCGGAGGGTAGGGGAATTCAAATCAACATCTTCCACCCGAGCGCGAGATCAACTTGAAGGGACTGCTCCACAGTTGTATAGGGTTTTGAACTGAGATAGTAATCCTCAAGATCATTCCCTGCAATTCAGAGCGATGCTATTTTTGATATTTCGTGTTCTCATTTCTAAGTTTGACGCACCCGAGCTTGTGCAGCCTACTGCGCACTTCCAGTTTTAAAATCAGCCAGACACGTATGACGCCATGTAGGAGTCACACTGATATCCCCACCGCGTTGGCTGTGTTGTGCCCAGGCCATGGTTAGGAAATCTATGGCCACTGCAAGATTTGTTGAGATGGTTCAGCGCCAAATGTATCAACAATGAAAGAAATAGACTAACCGTCAGGTTAAGCTGCCAGTTGTATGTCTCGATCGCGAACCGTGCGTTATGATATAAAACATTCATTTATGATATAAAACAGGCATTTGGGGAACTGCTAGTTATGATGGGCGTGGGGCTGAGAAACGAATAGCTGAAGAATAGCTTCGCAACGGAAAATGGAAATGTAAGTACAAAGTTAATCATGGAAAAGTATGCTATAGCAGGACGAAAAAGGACTGAATGCACGCACGCAACGTTAAAAGCATGCATTTATACGCATAGAACATCAACATCACTCAGCGGTGCGTAGAAGCAAGGGCGAAAAAAGTATTTTATCACCGACGAAATTTGGAACCATCTAAATTGTCATCTGGAGGCAAATCTTTCAGAAGCCTTTGCAACAGAACTCTTAATGCGATAAACCACAAAAACTGACAAGTTAAGTGAAATGCGGCATTGCCACCAAACATTTTTGTTTCGGGAGTTCATATGCACTAGTGTCATTTACTGGCCATCAAACACTGGGTGATGGCAGATACTTATCTAACAAAATAATCAGATAAATGCATACTTAACATAACCACCATAGAGGCGTTTAGTTTCCTTTTCAGTTGAAGGGAGGAGGGATTGTGTCGCCTGACCTGGGATGAAGTTTCCTGTTTAAAGTTACCTTTTTTGTCAAAAATTTGTAATTATTCATAAATTTCAGGGCCGAGCCCCAAAAACCTAATTTTTAGAAACTATACCACTGCCCCTCAACTGTGAAAACAAAGCGCGTCAGATCTGGGGAGAAAACCGATTTAAGTGCATGTCGTGAGGACGTTCCGTCATTTTTTCCGCACCCTCCTCTCCTTCTCCTCCTCACCCGTAGCCATACATTTACCGATAAAATAGTTTTACAAGCACCTGGAGCCAATATCACTTTTGGTTTATGACGTCATCGCACAATCAGCTGGAAGGGTTGGCGGCATTCATTATCTTTGCATAGTCGTTACCGGTGCAGAACTCGCCCTTTCTAACATGATCCCAACTGCTCAGTGCAAAACTGATGCAATAATGATATCGACAAATCCACAGAACACTTCCGAACACCCCTAGCACCTTCACTTAGTCTTGTGTGCAATATGATGAGAACTAAAAGCGTTTGTCTCACGTCCATCCAACGATCAGCACGCTATCTCTGAAGCGAAACGGCCAAGGTGAGAGGCCTACACCAGCGATGCTCAGCCTCTTACCTCACAGCTTCTGTTTCTGCCAGCAGCAGGAAGCCCCGAATGAATCCTTGACATGTGTCGCTCCAACTTCGTCCGTTTACCTCTGCAACTACAGCTCCGGTAACCACAAACTACAATGTTCCTATATCGACAGGGCTTTTCAACGTTATTGCCTTAAACAAGCTGATGATTAGTATGCCTTATCTGGTGATACGCGAGCCCGAGGAACTGACTGGCGTTCTTCTAGCCAGTGAGCTCCTCACGACATGAACACAACCAACAGCAGCCCACAGCTCTGCACTGAACCCAGTGCACCACCACGTGGCGAGCATTCGCGCCCATCTGCCTCAAATGGTACGACGCTTTAAAACTCTGCGTAGCAAACTGATCGCATTTGTCCCGAGATGCTGCGGCCAGCTGCGAATCTCACGACTAGTAATAGGCTTAGTTATTCGGTATATTATACTGTTGAGCATATTTTTCTCACGACTAGTAAATAGCAATACTAGCAATAGCGATTCTTACAACTAGTAATAAACTTAGTTATTTGATATATTATACTGTTGAGTATAATTTCGTCACGAGTTAGCACGCATAGGTCTCACTTTTTGTCACCTACCACTTCCGGCAAATCAGAAGCTTTTTCACTCCTGCGCAAAAGTGCCATATGTGAGTCACACCGTCTGATCTGGCCAGGTTGGTAGCGACTCGGACATCATAAAAACGTTTCGCGACGCAATAAAACGATTCCGTATTAAGAAGCATATTTACTGAATAGTGATTGGTTATTTAAAGCCGTTCTTTGCACGTACCAATCCCTATAGATAAATATTAAAAGTGACGCGTGAGCTTTTTCCATCTTACGTGACGCATGTCTCAATATCCTCAAAGGTGGGGCAGTCCCCTCTCAGCAATCTACTTTGTTGAACGGTCCTGTAATTGCATATTTCTGTTATTGCGTATGCTAGGCTAATTAGAAAGGTTGTTTCTCGTGGATAGAACACCACGCTTCCTAGGAAATCATAGTCACTGAGATGACAAGAGGCAATAACCTCATCGGGTATGATGACATATCATACGTTCTCAATGCCCCTTCCCCGAAAAAAACAATGGGGTTTAGCATTTTACTTAGCATTGATCTATTGAGATGGCAAATGGCAATAGTCTCAAGCTCATAATACATAGTATTAATAATCACGTGCCGGTTACACTGGGCACTTCCCTATTCAGTCGGGACAAAGCATGCCAGCAGAAAATAAGTAATAACATTCTCCGCTCGAGAAATGATCGCAAAATGCAGGATACATTTTCGTATGAATCATATGCTTATTAGTTTGGTATGTTCGCCGTATTTATTTCGAATCTTTCCGTTTTGTACTTTGTGCTCCCTACTTATATCTCGCTTTACCCTATATCCTTTAGAGGTTTTGGAATGGTGAAACTTGGCGTTAATGCCATAAACTCCATGGTAGAGAGGATCCTGAATGCATTTATCGACGTAGCCAAGATAAATTTTAGCATCTCCTCTCGTCCAAACCTGATGGTGCTAATTCAAACTGATGCGTTTTATCGTCTTGCATTTTGGTTTGGAAATTTGCAAGTTCTTTTCAGCATGCTCTTTTATATCTTGGTTCATATAATATAACATAAATGAACATTCCATATGAATGCATGATTGAAGGTTTGGTTTCGCCCACCCGAATAGCCCGCCCAGTAGCAAGGTATGAAATAAGACTTGAACGCTGGCGAGTGGGAAAGAAAATCTTCAAATATTCCCTTAAAATCTAGACTAGGCAATTGTCACGCTTCATTGGTAACCATTTAACAACTATGCCTTCAGGAGCGAAAGCATTGACTAGGTTAGGGGAGAGAAGACCGCCTTGGTCCTGGCCACGGTAACGGAATTCTCTCCAAAAATGAGGAAATGCTCAGTGCA